CTCTCTTCTTCCCAAACTGGAGTATTCAGTTACTATATTTGCACAGGTCTTTAAGAATACTATTATATAACATTGTCAAATAATGCAAATGTAATTCTATTAATATGATACACATATTATCTCTCTCTATATATAACACTGAGCAGACTCACAGAATCACAGAATTAGTAAAGTTGGAAGGAACCTGAGACACTGGTTTCATCTGGTGGGACTTATGAGTGGGACACGTCCAGTGCCACCTCCCTGCTCAGGCAGGGCCATCCCAGAGCACAGGGCACAGCATTGTGCCCAGAGGGCTCTGCAGTATCCCCGCTCAGGGAGACTCCAGCCCCTCCCTGGGCAGCCTGTTCAGGGCTGGGCAGTGCCTAGGGCAGAAGTTCTGCCTCCTGTGCAGGTGCAGTTCCTGGGCTCCGTCCCTGCCCGTGGCTCTGGTGCCACTGCCGGGCCTGGAGCAGAGCCCGGGCCCTGCTCTGCCCCTCCCTGCACACAGGGACAGGGGATACTGCAGAGCCCTCTGGACACAATCCTGTGCCCTGGGATGGCCCTGCCTGAGCTGGGAGGTGGCACCAGTGACCCTCTGTTGTCCCTTTCAGCCTCAGCCGTTCTGGGATTCTGGCTTATTTCTTCTGGCTAGTTTGATGGTTGAGGGCACAGTTCAGACTGTGAGGACATGTACTGTAGGTTTGTGAATTCTGCTTTTCTGACTTTGTGTTTTGCTTAATTTTGTAAGAGCTTGAGTTTCAGTCTGGCATCTCCAATCCTGAGTTAATAATGTATTATGTAACGTATCCAAGTAGTGTTCACCTCAGTTTAGATGCTCTTTTGGGGTGGAGAATAGTTATTATTTTATGCTGAAGTGATTACAGGGAAATGTTGAGTGATGTTCTTCCTTCCTTCCTTCCTTCCTTCCTTCCTTCCTTCCTTCCTTCCCTCCCCCTCTCCCTCCCTCCTTCCTTTTTTGTTTTGTTTCTTTTTTAAGGAGAACATCAGTGTGATCTGGGAATATTCAGGAACTCAGCATCTGACTAAATCTCTAGAAGGGACAGACTCAGCTGGAAAACCTAGCAGAAACAATTTCCTCTCCCCTGGCAAAAAAAGAGATTTGACTTTTTTTAAAGAGATTACCAAGAGAACTACTTTGGGACTATTAAAGAAAGGGGAGGTAGGAATAGTTTAGTTATTGGTGGCATTGTAAATCCTCAAATATTACAGTTAAAATATTACACTTGTACAGCCTCTTAGTGTTCTTACCAACACACTTCTGCAGAGATGCTTACACTAATTCCTCTTCCATGGAAAAGGTATTCATTAAATTAGTAATTAAAACCTGACGTTCTGGGAGTTGTCAGAAACCTGGATGTCATAATTTGGAGCTAATGTCCATAGATGTGTTTGCTGAAGGCAACAGTGCTCTAAAGGAAACACTGAGTAATGAGATGACTCTGGAAGTAACTGGGAAAAAACCCACCAAACTGATGAAGTTGATATAGAAGTCCAAATATTTCATCTCAAATCACAAAATAAACTTTGTACCAGCCTGCTGATATCTATGCTGAAGTACATGAGAAAAACCAGCAGCAGAACATCTGAGGGCAAACAAATCCTCTAATCTATTAATGAAAAGAGAAACCCAAATGTCCACAGATTAGTGAGACATAAGAGGACACCAGGAGACCTCTGGATACATTTTAGAGCCAAAGTTGGTGCCACCTTCAGCCTTGTAGGAAGCTCTTTCCCTCCCAGCTGTGCATCCAGGAGCTGGTGGTAAAGTTGGAAGAGCTGTTGCTCACTTCAAAGGGGAGTTTGTAGATTGCAGATAATGGTGCTAGTTAATAATTCAGCTCATAATGCCCATCCATTTGAAACATTTAAGGAAGAATGAAGTGTCTTTGTCAGTACAGAGAAAGAACAAGGGCTGCAGTTCTTTGCCTCAGATGTGAATGTCTCTGTTGAGAGATTAAAGCTCTCCTGTGTGCCATTCCCAGAGCTGCTGTGGGGACATAAGGGTGTGTGTTCACTTTCTTGACCAGACATTGGAAATATCCTCATATTGCCCCAAATTAGGGTAATTTATAAAAAAAGGAGCCTCTTGTTTGTGCTCTCTGTCACACCTTGAGTTTTCTGTAGGATCTTGGCACCAGCCTTGGCAACGCTGAGGCTGTTGAGCCCTTCATGGATCAGGGAAGGTGTGTGTGTCACACATTCCTGCAGGTCCTGCCAGCCTTTAGATTAATTAATGGTGGGCAGCTGGTATCCATGGAAGGGAAGGCAAAGGTCTTGGAGCATGGGAGAACTTTGCTGATAATTTGGTTTTTTGTTGTTTTATATTTAAAGCTTGAAGAACTAGAAGGATTCCTGTACTTTGAACTGCAGGCCTCAAATTCCCAAGTTGGAGCTGTATTTTTTAGTCCCTGATAGGAGCACACCCACCATGTGTGTGCCAGGGGACACACACAAGGCCCCAGATTTACTCAGCATTCCCGCTTCTTCCTAGATCTCCATCTGCTGGCAGATGTGCCTTTCAAGTGGGGGTGCTTCGGAAAGGAAGGAGCAAGAGAGAGCATGTGAAAATGTGCAGCAGCTGCCAGCTGGGCTCCCTATGTATATAGTTATATTTATATATGTGCACAGCTATATTTATGTATGTGTATGTAGCTATAGTTATATATACGTCCATAGGATAGTTATATTTTTATATATAGTTATATTGATATATGTGTATAGTTATATGTGTATATAGTTAGATTTACATATATGTATATAGTTATAGGTATATTGACATTTCATAGGTGTATTGATATTTATATAAGTATATAGATATTTAAATAGATAACTTGACATTTTATACTGGATCTGCAGTAAGTTTTTTAATAGAAATGGGTGTTGATATGCATTTTCTCTGTGATTTAAATTGCAGATGGTCGAGTGTTGTAGTTGAAAACATGCTTTGTGTTTCAGTAGCTGTGGCTGTCACGACAAGTAACCCTCAGCACAGCGACAAGTTTACAAAAGAGGGGACCGACTCCTCGTTGGCATCATTTATTCATTTCCGTGAGTGACTCCAGGGGTGTCACAACCCTGCTTGCTGACCAGTTCGTTTTCCTGGGGCCCCTTTTCCAGGAGCAGCGGGCGCGACCCCCGGCCCGCTCCAGGTCCCGGCCCGCGGTGCTCCCGGTGGGTTCCCCGGTACCCTCCCGCGTCCCCGCTCCGGTCCGAGCCCGTGGCTCCGGCCCGCAGCATCCTCCACCTCCCCGCGGAGACCGAGCGGCGGAATTCCAGACCTCTGACATCAACCCGACCTGGAACCTCCCCGAGCCCGATCGCGGGGGCGATGGGCAGCGCCCCGCGGGGCAGCGCGGCCGGCCGGAGCCGCGGCGGGCCGGGCCCGGCCGGGTGTCGCTCCACCCGCCCGTGTCCGCAGGTACGAGCGCCCCGCCGGACTTGGGCTCCCCCGCCCGCCCGCCGGGACCTTCCGCCGCTGCAGCCGGAGCCGCGCTTCGGCCCCCACCCCGCCGCCGGCGCCCCCGGCAGCGGCTCCGCCGCCGGGTCGCTGCCCATGTCCCAGCTCTGCTCGCCGTCCGCGCTCGCTGCCGGCACGGTCGGTGCCCGCCTTCGCTGCGGGGACGCCGCGCTTTGGAAGCCTTCCCGGAGCGCGCGGGGGTGCTGGCGCAGGTCGGGCGATTACATGCGGACACTTCACTTTCAGCCATGCCTGCCTCGGGAGCTCTCTGTCTGCTGTAATTTTCTCCCTTTGATCTCCCTGGATCCTTTTTCGGGCTGTGGAGCTCCGCTTGCACCTACCTGCCTGCTGCGTGTGTGCGAGAGTTTTCCTCTTTTTTTTAATACTATTTTTGGTTAGAAATTCCAATGCTATTTTTTCTGAGACCGAATCCAAACATCATCAGAGCCACATGGTTTTATTAAGATACTGGAAATAACTTTTGCCTGGGATTTACAGCAGGATTCCGTCCCGGCCCGGCCCCTGCGGACTCCAGCAGGCTCACTGCCTAACAGGTTAGCAAAGGATTTTTTTTTTCCTTATATATCCTCTTTTCTCTCCAGAGCCATGCGATCACTGTAACTTGAGTTTAATCGAAAACACTTTCTGTCTTAATTCCAGTTATGAAGACTCGTCGATGCGTTCCATGTGACCTTTGGGCAGACCGTGGAGCTTTCTATTTTATTTTGTGGGGCCTTGAGTCAGGATCTTAACGTGTGCTTGGAAGTGGTCATACCGGAACTCGGGCGCGCACAGAAATAGTGCGAGAGAAACTAGATACGCCGTAACTTTCTGCCTGATACCTGTTGGGATTCGTGTCTAAACTTTGGCAGTGTTTGGGGGCTTTTTTATTTCCTGGGAACTTCCAGCCGTGAAGAGTAGCTCTGTGTTTTGTTAATTATCTTTGAGAACTCTACTGGAGTCAGATTGTGAGCATGGATTTCTAAGGGAAAAGTAAAGCTGATCCAAATTTGAATGAAGCACTTCTGGCATGAGGAAGATGGAAGGGATCATCGTAATTTGGAAGGGAACAGTATTGGAGCAAGCCTTCTTGTCACCATAAATTCAGGGAATACCACCTTCTTGATTTCTGGGAAGGATACCAATTGGTGCAGATAACGTTCAAGGTAGTGCTTATGGTGTGGGAAATGCTAGAAGCAAGAAGGTGAGGTGTCTCTTGAGGGTATTTGGGATGGGTGTTTTGAGCCTGTGGGTCTTCATAACTCTTGGCCGGGAGACAGGAGGCCGCCACATCAGCGGTGAGACCTCCCCGTGCCTCATCTCCGTGGGACCGAGGAGCTCCTAATGCCCCCTGTGCACCCAAACTGACTTCTTGCTTGCGACCTGTTTTGCTGATCCTTCTGGATTTATCTGCCGGAGGAGAGACTCACAATTTAGGAATTTTTTTTTTTTTTTAGTTTGTTTGTTTAAAATATGCCTCTGAGCTCCCGGCGGCCTCTGAGCACGTGGCACGGGACAAGAAGAGCGGCGATGGCGAGAGCCGGCGTCGCCGGGGAGCTGCGCTGGCGGTGACCGAGCCCCGCTCTGCCGCCTCTGGGTCTGTCCGCAGCCGGCTCGGAGCCCGGGAGCGGTGCCGCCGGCCGGGCCCGCTGCGGTGAGGACGCGTTCCCGAGCGGTATGAGCGGCCGGAGCCCGCTGCTGGTAGCATGAGTGCTGGCCCCCAGGTGCAGCTGGCTGTCCTCTGGCCTTGGCTGCTCATGGCGACCCTGCAGGCAGGACTGGGCCACACCGGGCTGGCGCTGGCGGCGGCCGTGGAGTCGGAGCGGGCGGCGGCGCAGAAAGCCATCATCAGGGTCATCCCGCTCAAAGTGGAGCCCATCATCCTGGAAGGGGAGTTTGCCAACGTCGCCGAGGTGACTCCGGCCGAAGGGAAACTGCTCCAGGTAAGAGCAGCGGTGCCTGGTCGCGCTCCGGCGGCCTCGCCACCCGCCCCAGCCTGTCCCCTTTCCCTCCTGGCTGCCTCGGTCCCCGAGCCGTGCCTTGGGTTGCGTGTCCCGGCGTGGATTTGTGGCGCGCTCCGCGCTCTGTCCCCGCGTGTTTGGTCACAGGGGCCGAGGGGACGGCATCGTGCGAAGGGCTGAGCCTTCCTTCGGGGCCGAGCTGTGGCTGCGCCTGATTACTGCTGAATTGTGGATGTGGTCGGCTGATTCCGTAGAGATTATTTCGTATCTTAATTGATGTTATAAAGCTGAGTGTGTCAAGTCACATGTCGGGATGTGAAACATCTGACAGAACACAGGATTAGTATTTTTTTCTCTGAAGTTCATGAAGTTTTCCATGCACTCTGCTGAGGTCGGGGTTCTGTTACAGCCCCAAATCCCATCCTGGCCGTACCCACCAGAATCCCTAGCTCTGCTTGTTGTTTGTTGCCTGTACCTAAAGGGTGCATGTTACCTACACAGGAGCTCCAGTGGTGTCACCACCAGGTATTTTTATAGATGAATTAATGCTGTTCTCTGACCTTTATTAAGGCTAATCTATTAAGGCCACAGGTATTTCCACACCTGGGCAGGAGGTGCACGTGCTGCACAGCCAGAGCTGAGCCATTCCTGCACTGAACAGACCCATCTCCTGCACACACTGAGTTTGGAGCTCAGTTTCCTGAGAGCTGGTGTGCTTTCTCTCCATTCCGTGGCTCATCTGCTTGGCAATTGTGTGCGTTATTCTTGAGAACAAAACAAAAAAAAACCCAAAAAAAACCAACAAAAAAAAATTACAAAATAGTCTGCATTAATATTAAGTCTTAATTTTCTCCTGGACTTTTCCAGGACTTTCCAAATGGGGTATGTTGAAATCTTAATTACATTTGTAGTCTGGAAATTTAAATTAAAGTAGTAAATTTTGTGTAGTTTAAGAAGAGGTGGACAGTTGAGCCAGCTTTAGAACATGGTCACCTGTGTGAAAGTGAACATGGACAATTTGTAACATGAATAAAGCCTGCTTTTCCATGCCTTTTGAACTTCTCAGAATGAAATCTCTGCTATAAAATTATATTACGAGGCTAAAAAAAAATCGGAGACAAATGCACTCAAGGTCCTCTTCTGTTGTGAGGCAATGTCCAGGAAAGTCAATATTTATTCCTTACTAAAGCTACAGTGGTGTTGCAACTGAGCACAAAGTATAGAGTAGAACCTTTTGGAAATGGGAGGATGATAACCTTTCCTGAGGGATGTGTGCATTCTAACCAAATGCAGCAGTACCAAGTGGGAATTTTGTGCCGTCACAGCAGCACCAACCAGGTGTTTGGAATAAAAAGCTGTGAATAGTGTCCAATTTAATCCTTTAAAAGTCATCCTCCAAATCGAGACGGCTGGGGAAACTCTAATCCAGCCTGTTGAGTTTGGGCACGACAGACACTGACCTGCTCTGGGTGTGTTTTCAGGCCTTGACTCTGCCACTCTGTGTGCTCAGGTGAGCTCCCACTCCACGTCCCACTGGATCCAGTGCGGGAAGTCCTGGTTTTAGCTGGCAGCGCTGAGACAGGGGGTCAGGCTGTGCCTCCTGCAGCAGGATGTTTGCCCGGTGCCAGGCACTGTGCTCTGGGAGGGTTTAGCCAAGTGTACGTGTGACCTCTCCTGCAGGTCTCATGCTGTGGTTTCTAATTCTGCTGCTGAATATTGAAACTTGGCCTATAAAATGACGTTTAGAATTGTTCAGGTCCTGATGCTGCAGTGAGTTCTTACCTCTGGAAAGAAAAAATGGGAAACGGGGACATAACTCTCCAGGTACAAAAGAAGTAAGAAATTAGTGGGATGTGTACTTTTCAGTTGGTTTTTAAATGGTGGGATATTAAACATACCAGAATCAGGCTTTATTTGGACATCTCATTTTGCACATGGTTGTCAACATCACAATCTTGCAAAAACTTCAGGTCACATGCTTAACTTTGATGTCACTGTAACTCCTACTTAATAAATAAACTTACGGCTGTGCATGCATACCTGCACAATTGCTTCTTCAAATGTAGTTTAGGGACATAACATGGTACTTTTACAGTTACTGAGTAAAGAAGTGGGGGTTTTACAGCATTTTTGGATAGGTCTTGGTTATGTCAGACTCTGTAAGGTACAGTCAGCCTGTCCAGGAGAACAGAAACTGCAGAACTTAGCTTGGAAGAGTGGCATGGATGGCCCAGTCTTGTTTCCAAAGCAATGCTCTCTTCTTTCAGAGGTAGAATAGGATTGCCCAGGGATCAGTGGTACAGAGTTTTCCCTGTAGGCAAGTCAGGTTCTCTTTATTATGACTTGTAATTATCTTTGTAGTGCTCTGGTCAATATATTTTTAGAAATGCATTCTTAATTTAATACAGAAAATCCTGCACGCAAGTGATGGAGCCTCACTACTTCTACCAGAATGTTTTCCTAGTTTCGTTTCTCCTTGCCCTATTTTCCAGGATCATCAACAGAAATGGACTTTGATTGTGTTGTGTTACATCTTAGAAGCCAACTTTAGCCATATTGTCTTTACCTACAATAAAAGAGCCCCAGCGCTGAATTCCTCCTCACAGCCTTTGCCCTTGTGAGCAGTTTTGTGGGAAATCTCTGTATTTCTGTTGTTGCCCAGTGGGCAAGCAGGAAGATGCCAGGGAGCTGCCAGCCCTGCTAGTGTAACCCCAGCAGTGTTCCTCTGGCACTCCAATGCTGCTGCTGCTGTGTGATGCAAAGGGAGAGGAATTTCTCAAGCAGGCAGAGCCACTTAAGCCTTTATAGGTCAAAAAAACCAACACCTCAGACTTCTTGCAGAAATCATCTCCAGGCTTGTGCAGTGCTCCAGCTTGTTCAGGGAGCTCGGAGCATTAACTCTTGCTGGACGTGGGAAGCACCTGGGGAGCTCCCTGGCAGTTTCCAAACTGGAAATTTCAGTTTGGAAGTTTAAACTGGGAAGGAATCCTTCCCTGTGAGGGTGGTGAGGCCGTGGCACGAGTTGCCCAGAGATCTTTGGCAGTTTTCAAGGCCAGGCTGGACAGGGCTTGGAGCAGCCTGGGACAGTGGAAAGTGTCCCTGCCATGGCAGGGGGTGAACTGGATGAGTTTTAAGATCCATTCCAACCCAAACCAGTCTGGGATTCTGTGGTCTCTGCTGGGCCACTGTAGGAGCCTGAACTGCTGTTAAAAGTTCCATGGCAGTCAAAACCTGGCCCTTTATTACAAATGGAGGAGCCAAGGCTTTTAGACAAGTGGGTTGGAAGGAACATATTTGGAACTTACCGACAATGGACAATCCATGAGTAGCTCAGGATTTGACATGCCCTCGGAATTGCAATTCCTGTGGCTGCCGATTAACTCCCTTTCACAGGACTGCTATAGAGATTTTTCAGCTTCGTTTTTTGATACTTCTCTTGCTCTATTGACTGACTTTTGAGGAATAAGTCTCGTTTCCTTCTTGTCCTTGACTCAGTCTCCATTTAGTACTGGAGCAAGTTCATGTTGGTTTGAAGGTAAATAGGAAAATAAGGAATGCCTTAGAAAGAAAAGGAGAGAGTCACTGGAAAGAGTTGCAAAAAGATTTTTCTAATTTTAATTACAACATGGGCAAATCTAATTGTGGAAGGAAAAAAACCCTTTTTTTTGAGATATAGTTCATCACTTACAGTCTTGTTTAGGACAGTTCAAGGATTATCAAGATTCAAGGATGCATTATTAAAACCGAGCATTGATATTTCTTTGAGGGTGTATAAGCCCCATCTTCTACACAGGGGAAAAGATGATTCCTTTAGTCTGTGCAGAGTGGTAGGAGTTGGTACAGTCTCTAGTTCTAGGGTATTTGAGAAAAAGTGTTAAAAGTTTGGGATGAGTCCCTATTAATGATATTTAAAAAGAGATGGATAACTTCACATTACTACAGGGAGGGCAAAGTGATCAGCAGTCCCAATCCCTTCACATGCTGACACGTAGAAAATTCCAGTGCATGTGTAGGACAGTGACACAGTCTCACTGAGCAGGCAGTGTGTAGAACTAGTTTTCCCAACATCCATTGTTTCATTTGCAAGTCTCACAATACTTTACTCCATTTCTGTACAAACTCAGCAGTTCCATAATGAGGGGGTTGTAGAAGAAAGTCAGCTTTCCCTTACCCATGGAGTGCATTGTTTTAATTTATCACTGCAGGAAAACATCTGAAGAAAATAAAAGCAAAGTTGAAGAAACCCACAGAAAAAGCTCCCTAAAGGCTCTGAACACCCAAACCAATGATTAGCCTCCTTCCACCTCTCCTCCCTGAAAAATGAATTATTTACAAAACATTCACATTGATCTATTTAGGATGTATTGAGTGAGAATTGAAGGAGGAGCCTGAATCACCTTTTTTTTTTTAGGTGGCATGTATGATTCAGAAGGAGAAAATCAGTCACAGATCCAGTTAGAGGAGGAGTGTGGTGTTCAGAACAGCAGTGATAATTATCCCATGGAATTGCTGCAGTGAACCCTGGGGGATCACCCTGGACAATGGAGAGTGTTCCCAGTGTTGTAAGGCACATGCCGTTGGGATTGGAATCACCTCCTTCAGTGCTCACAGAGGTTTACACTCCCAACCCATCCCAAAGTAAATACATTAGTATCTTCTATACTCCCAGCTCCTGCATCAACAAAAGGATGTTGAGTGCATAATGTTGACAGAGAAGTGGGAAACTTGAACCAAATGATTATGGGGACTTAAATTACATGTGAATAAACTGGTCAGCACAATGCAAGGCAGTTCAAAGGAGCAGTTTCTGCCTCTTGGAACAGCTCATACTCATGTACACAGACTTGACTTAGCGTTAAGTAATGTGCAAGAGCTGCCTCAGAAGCAGCAATAATGGAGCCACTTGGCCTGACTGCAGCGCAATAAAAATGGGTGCCTAAGTACCAAAAAGTGTTACTTTGACACAGACCATTAACAGGAAA